GAGGAACTCGTGTGGTGAGAACACACAGTGATGGGCACAGGGGCAAGCTCAGGACGCACAGTGCCATGGGGGCAGTGTTTGGAGGCACACGCATCGACACGTAGGCCACACAGGTCGACACAGGCAGGTCGACACCACGGTGGGGCACATGGACACACCGCTTCTCGCGCTGGTCAGACACCCAGAGGACATGGGCTGTACAGGGATACACCACAGTGGCACCATGACACAAAGACCACATCAGGCACCCGACACGCACAGCGATACACACCCGTCACCAAATACAGAGAGACGGAGTCTGGGGTGACCCTCAGACAGGCCGCCGTGACAAACACTTGGAGACACAGGGACACTGGACAAGGGACCTACACAGACACACAGCTACCCACGAGAAAATGGCGGCTCTGGGGCCCAAGATGCTGATGAACACACTCAGATCTGGGAGAACCCAGGCAGCCACTCGCAGCCAGCCCCTGGCCCCTTGGCCCCCACACCCGGAACTGCGGGGGCAGGAAAGTGAAGACACCCCTCCCCCACCCCGCTGAAGCCCGGGTCTCGGCGCCGTGTAAGAGGGAAGCACAAGCATCCCGGCTCCTCCTTTCTTGGTCCAGCTGGAGGAAAGGGCAAGACCCCAAATTCTTCGCACTTCAAGAGCAGAGGACAGGGACCAAGCCGATAAAAGGCTGGGCTCCCAGTGGGCTGGATGTGAAGGCCCGCAGTCAGACCGAGTTCCAGGGGGATTTAGCCGCAGCCACGACTGCCCGCCCACCCCTGCACACACCCACGACACCCACTGAGCCCTGACGAGTGCTCACACAGGGTCACATACAGGCACCTTGTCCCCATGGTATACCCCGGTGACAAGGCCCCGCTGCAAATGCAGAAATGGAGCCATGAAAGCCACCGGAAGCCACCATCGGGATCCACCCTTGTCTCCAGGCTCTTTGGCCCATTCACATCTGGGTGCGGGCACACTCCAACACACTCCGGCACAAGGCCCCGGACGCCAGACCCAAAGTGGGCCTGGCTGCAATCAGGATCAAGATTAGGAAAAGGGCCAAGGCAAACTAGAGCCCCCAAGAGAGGCACCTGGTCCCCACAGGCCTTGTCTCTTCCCTCCTGCCCCCTGCTCCCCACCATCCCTGCCTTGTACTCCCCCTGCCCTCTGCTTGGCGTATAGAACTCCAGCTGAGGTAAAGAATGGGCCTCCCTCCTTCTAAACTCTTCTCTTGCTTCCTCCTCCAGGTAGTTCACTTGGATTTCTATGTCTGGGAGGTATTCAGCCTTGTCTTCCACCCTAATGAAGTTTGGAAGGCCTGGGGTGGTCTACTCATGGTAACCAAATGACCACAAGTCATTCTGTTCCTTGAGCACATGCTACCTACATGCCTGAGCCTCATCATAGCCTGAAAGGTAGGCACTATTATTGCCTCATTTACAGACCAGGAAAATCCTGTGCTTCAGGTCACAGAATTAGAAGATACAGAGCTGGTGCTCATCTCCTGCAATGTCTTACGGTAAAGCCCAGTTCTCAACCTCTGCTCCCACATCTTCCACCTGTGAGCCTTTGAGGCCCCACAAGACACTCCAAGCTGGGCCAGGACCCCTGACTCCAGCTCCCAGGGAGAGGGGAGCACCCTGCCCCCCACATCAACCCAGCAGAGCCCTCAGCTCTGCGCTCAGCCCAGCCTCAAAACATCTCATGGAGCCCCACTCAGGCCCAAGAGTGGCCTACCGCATCCCAGCCCATGATGCACACACCTCCCACCCTAGCCGTGGGCATGAAGCAGGCAGGGCCAGAGCCAGAGAGAAAATGTGCCATAAAAAGGAGGTGCCACGTGGGTGCAGCACGGGGAGCAGCAGCTTCACAGAGACAGAGAGGTAGCCACAGTGACCCGGGGAGCGAGCTGAGAGGGCGCAACGGGGGACCCAGCCCACGCCCCTCCCCTAGGATGGCTGTGTGTGTGGCTTCACAGAAACGGGGGCACATAAACATTCTCTTGCTCGTGTGACTATGTGGCAGGAAATGTCGGCGAGCATGCGTGTCTGAGGGTAGGTGCGTGTCTGTGTACACACCTGGATGAGCCAACAGCATTGTGAGAGGGTGTATGTCTGTCCATCCGTCCATCCTTGAGTCCGCGTGAGCAGGTGTGGGGTGAACGAACACTTGAGTCAGCCCGTATGTGAGTGGGTCTAGGAGGTATCGCCGTGTGTCCGTGAGCTGGCATCGATACACACGTCCCATTTTAAGGAATGTATGTGTGTTTACACATGTGTTGGGCAGGGAGGGAACACAGGTCCACCGTCTCCCATGTCTGTAGGTTTGCCAATCACTGTGTGTCTGGCTGGACATCAGTGTAAGGATGTCATTTATGCCCCCATCTTCGCGGTGGAGGCAGTGTATGTGTGTGACTACATTCTGGTGTAGTCGGCATCTCAGTTTATTTGGAGGGGGAGCCTCATCCATCCGCTTCCCTCCACTGAGGACTCAGGTCTGTGGCTCTAGTGGGCTCAAGCAGCTCCAGCAAGCGCCCCGCCCAGCCGCCCTGGATTTCGATGCTTTTTCCAGAAGGAGATTTCCCCCCCATCCTTCCCCCTCGCCCACAGTGCCTTTCCCTGCCAGGGCCCCGCTGCTCCAAGCTCGTTCCTGCTCAATCATTTATTGACTTTAAAATCGAAGCCAATTCTGGTTTGAAAAAAGGGAGAGAGAGAGAGAGAGAGATGGAGGCCAGAGAGAGGCAGAGAGTCCGAGATGTGGGGGGGAGGGAGGAGCAGAGATGGGGCCAGCATCAGAGACAGACAGGGAGAGACAGGGACAGTCAAAAATATAGAAGGACAGAGAGACAGAGACAGAGACAGAGACTGGCAGGGCAAACTATGGAAGCAGAAAAATTTATAAAAACAGAGACTCTGGATCCAAGAGATGCAGCTCTCGGGAGGGGCAGACTCTGCTGACCCACAGACAGCAGCCACCCGCCCAGACTGCGATCACTGTGCCCCCCAGCCACCCTGGCACCCTTGCAGCCTGGGTCTGTGATGGAGCTGAGCCCGTGCTCCCTTCTGGAGTGTCACAGAGTCAAGCCTTGGCCATCACCCTGAGTCTGGGGGCCGCCCCAGCCGTCTTCCTAGACTTGTCACAGTGGATCTCCTGGCATTTCTTTCCCAAGGTACCATGAAATCTGAGGACCCAGAATCTCACCCAAGCCTAAGGGGGCAGGCCAGGGAGCTGGGATGGCAGCAGGTGGGCAAGGAGCTGCTGGGGCGTGGGGTCTTGGTCCCGCTAGTACCTAGACACTAGCCACGCAGGCCATCCAAACATAGCCCCAAAGACAGCCACGGCTCAGGCCCAGCTAGGTGGGCAGGATCGTCGTGTGGGAAGCCCAAGATGAGGCACAGATGTAGGGGTTCCCATGCTGCCACAGTGGTCAGAGTGCACACTCATACCTGCATACACACCGTGATATACATGTGCGGAGAATGTGCACCTACTCACACCTGTACAGGAAAACCTGTTCCCAGAGCCCCCCACACACGTCCATGCCACACAAGCCTGCCTACGGCCAACCCACAGGAGCCACATACAGACCCCAAAATCAACTCACACACACACACTTGCATCTGTCGATACAAGAGGGCGGTGTGCCCACGGCTAACACTCATCCCACACATACCCTCGTGCCCCTTGCCGCACACCGGGCCCGCATAGCAGCCATGTTCACGTGGACCCCCACTCCCAACTGTGGGCACACTTGGCTCAAGGCTAGCAAGACTCAGGCTGGCAGAGGGAACAATTAGGACCTCAGGCCTGGTCTAGAGATTCTCCACACACGTAGGTCCTGCTGGAAGGCACCGCTGAGCAACCCCTAGGTGTACCATCTGCGGAGTCATTGTTACCAGTGTAGGCCCTGCAGGCAGCGCTGCCAAGGCCGATGTGGGACTATGGTCAGCTCCTGTGCCCTCTCGGAGCCTAGGGCCACCGACAGGGGAGGGCGGGATAGCAGCGCCGGCATCCCGGGAGCCTTTGCCTCCGCCGAGCGCGGCTCAGGGAACTTCGCTGGAGGCGGGATGCGCTCTGCAGCGCTCCAAGGTCGGCACTATTCTGCTCGCGGCTGGCCCGACGGCGTGGTCGCAGCACTGTCGGCGGCGTCCACGGCTGCCTCCCGCCCTCCCGCCTCTGGGCGGCAGGACGGTATTCCCCCGGCCCGCCTGGTCCACCGCGCGGCAGCCCGGGAAGCGGGGGCCGGAAAGTTTGTGCCGAGGAAAGTTTGGAGGGGGGCCCGCGGCGGCGTCGTCGTCCAGGGTCGGTGCAGAGGCGCGGCCCCGGCTGGCAGTGGGCCCATCCCTCCCTCTCCTCCCCTCCCCTGCCCCTCCGAAATTTGGGAGCCCCGCCATTTTCTTAGCCCCGCTCCCATGTGAAGCCTGAACAAAGACTTTGGGGAGACGCCCGGGCCGCTCGGCCCGCCCCGGGCACCCCAGCCCAACACAGGGTCTGCTACCACGCACGCCGGCCGCTGCCAACCTCGGGAAACGCTGCGCCCGCCCCTCAGATCGCCACCATACCCAGTCCCTACTCTGCGCCCGCGGGACCACCCCTGCCACTCTTTCACCCCCGCAAACACTGCCAGAGGCCACGCTGTTCGGGTGCCACCACAGTCGCCCACAGGTCGGCAGGAGTCGCGTTGCCCACCGCACCCCAGCCGAGCGCGCGCGCACGCACACACACTCACACACACTCCCGCTCCAGGGCAGCGCCACGCACGCAGCTGGCCACCCCCGAAGACCCCAGCAGGGATCTGCCGGTGGCCAGGTTCGCACGCGCACAGTGGCGCCCGCACGCGTGCCCGGACTCCCCACAGCACGGCTTGCACCCCTCGGCCGCCCGCGGGCTCACTCCCCCAGCCGCCGCGCGCCCCCTCCGCCCGCCCGCCCGCCCGCCTGCGCTGCCGGCCGGCCTCCTGCGCCCGCTTCCCTCCCCGGTCGCGCGGGGCGGCGGCCGGTACCTGGGTGAGGCAGTACGGGGAGTACATAGCTGGGCGCCCGGGCGAGAGCGCGGCGGCCGGCCGCGGCGAGGGGAGGCCCGGCAGGCGGTGGCCGCGCTCGGGCTCCGGCTCGGCTACTCCGGCCTCCGCCGCGCGGCGCCCGCCCGGCCCGCGGCCCCGCGCTCGGCCCGGCGCCGCTCCGCGCTCGCCGTTCGCAGGCTCGGCCCCGCCGGCTCCGGGGCCGCCGCCGCCGCCGCCGCGCTCGCCGCTGCCTCTCGCGTCCGCCGCCGCCGCCGCTGCGCGTCTACTCCATGCCGCCGCCGCTCGGCCGGTCACCCTCGCCCGCCGCCGCCGCCGCCGCTGCGCTGTGAAAGTGAAAGTTTAGACAAAGTTTGGAAGCGGCGCACTCCGGGGAGAGGGAGCTGGCGGGCGGGCGGGCGGGAGGAGGGGCGCGGGGAGGGGCGGGCGGGCGGGGAGCAGCGGCCGGCGCGCGCACACACACAGACACGCACGCACACACACAGACACGCACGCACACACAAGCGCACACACATGCACGCACACACACTTGCGGGGGCGCACACCGTCACGGCCACCCCGACACGTGCTGGCCCGCGTTCCAACGCAGACACACGCTGACACACAGCGGGTCTCCTACCCCACACACATGTCACGTACAGAACGCATTGCCACACGTTCCGACAACAAAGCACACGCAGACACCTACGAACACACAGCATGGACACATTCCCGAGTACACAGTCCACACGCACGCACGCGCACACCCCAAGATTAGCAATCCAACCCATGACCCTCATACTGACATGCACACAGGCCCCCCCCATCATGTGATGATACTGGCACACACACATTACAACAAGGAACCATGTTTAGACACCCAGATATATATAGATACATGCCAACATGGGCCTCACACACACGCACTAAGACATGCACACATCAGGGCCTTGCTGACATGTACAAATTCACACTGACACTGATACAGCCATGACACACAACCACACCTTGACGTGTTCCAGACACTCAACTCCTATATATGGACACACATAACACAAACACAAAGCCGCACCAAAATATCATGGTAGTTGTGACAATACAGAGGACACACCCGGGCACACAGAATGACACTGATAAACAGGAGATGCACTAACACACCATCACACAAACACACATCATCAGACACCTGGACGTACATGCCAAACAACACCAGGAATGCACTCACCCTATTACAAAGAGAAGAGATACAAAGTGTCACTGATACAAAGTGACAGTCACAACAACACACACACCACACACCTGATACCCAGATGTACCCTGAGCCTCCAGCACGCTGACCAACAATCCTGATACCCAGTCAGCTGGCAATGCCCCTCAAAGAATCACCCAACCATGCGCACAGGTGCCACACACATGCACCCAGGCCCCTCCCACACACGCAGCATACACACTTGCACTTCGCTCAGATCACACACACACACACAGATCTAGGAGGGGCTGCACAGCCCATTCCACAGGGACAGGAAAGGGCGTGAAGGCCTCAGATACACGTATACACCCCTGCTGGTGAGTCCCTAGACCCTCAGGCAGGCCCCGAACCCCCCATTTCCAGAGCAGAAAGGACCTGCAGGAGAGATGGTGCTGAGGACCCTAGCACGGGGGCACAGGGAGCCCTTGGGTGACCCCTGTGGCGGGTGGAGAGGTGGTGCCACAACCCGCAGGCAGCTCCTGCTGAGACAAAGCTCCCGCCTGCTGCCAGCTGCAGCCGGCACCTTCTTGCCCTCCTGGGCCAAGAAGCTGTGGCAATACTCAGCTATGCATTGTCTGTCAGAGGAGTGTTGGTGCCCAGGTGCGTGTGGGTGTGTGCGTGTATGTGTGTGCAGGGCCAGCTGTGTGGGGGCACAAGGGTGTGTGCCTGTGTGTGTGTGTGTGTGCATGTGTAGAAATGTCCCTCGGGGAATGCTCCTGGTCACACGAGACCACTGAGGCAGGGTGGCTGTAGTTGTGTCCTCAGGTGTCTGGGTGGGTCTGGGTGTCCTCAGGGGGGAAAGAGACGTCGGTCAGTGGCCATCCAGGAGTCCTTTTGTGTGGACCGGTGTTGCACGGTGGTGATGCGGGTCTGGCTGTATGCCTGGGAGGTGTCTATGAGTCAGAGAGGGTGAGCATCTGTCAGGCCCTGTGCCAAGCGTTGGGGACGTAGTGGGGACCAAGACAAAAGACCTGTCCCAGGGAGGCTGACATTCTAGTGGGAGTCAAGTGTGGCCAGGGTCTGGGTTTGACAGGAAGTGCTAGTGATGGGGGCATCAGGGTGAGCATGTGTGTTTCAAGCTGATCGCTGTGTGTGCATTAGCTCTGAGGGTCTTTTTGTCAGAAAGTGTCAGTGTGTGTGACAAACCTGTGTATGTGCAGCAGGGATGTGGGTCTCTGTGTGTCTTGGAGTGTACGTGACCAAGTGGGCAAGTAAGTGTGCGAGGGTCCTAGTGGGTCTGTCTGCATTCAGGGACCGTGCGGCAGAAAATGGCCATGGACCATTAGAGGTGTTTCTCTCTGTAGGTCCTGGGCAGTGATGAGGATCTGTGGGTGCATAGGGGTGCGTGTGTGTGTGTGCGTGTGTGTGTCTTAGGGAGGGGGTTCTGTGTCTTTGTCGGGGATGTCAGTCTGTGTTCGACAGGCTGTGTCGTGTGCGTGACTAAGGTTGTGTGTGCACACGTGTACCAGGAAGGGGGGTCTCTGGGTGCCTGAGGTTGTGTCTGGGTACTGTGTGTCTGTCAGTCCGTGTTTGGGGGGCTCTTTTCCGGTATCCCGCGTTCTGACCCAGCCTCCCCCGCTTCGCTGCTGATGCAAGGCCTTGGCGGAGGGAATTGATACGTCCTTAAAAATTCAAGGGCTTCTCGTAAACAGAAACTTTTAACACCGTTTAAAGTTTCAGGGCCGTCGCTGCTGCAGCCGCTTGCAGGAGGAGGGCAAGGGGGAGGGGGCACAGGGAAGGGGCTGGCGGGGGCTCCAAGGGGGAAGGGCGGGGCTACATGGGGGACAGGGGAGGGGTGCGAAGAGGGGACTGGAGGCAGCGAGGGGCTTCGTAAAGGGGACAAGGAAAGTGGTTTGGGGATTAAAGGGGGATGGGAACCTGGATGTTTCAGGACAGGGGCGGTTGGAGGATGGGGTGGGAGATGGGGTGGGAGCGGAGGAAAGCGGGAAAAGGCAGGGGATGGGTGTAAAAGGGTCTGGGGGGCTTTGAGAAGGCCCAAGAGAGGCTGGAATGTCTGGGGGAAGGTGCTGGGGAAATGTGGGCCCAGAAGGGGTTTGCAGAGCCAAGGGGGAGCTTAGAGGGCTAAGGGAAGCGGCAGAGGATAGGTTTGGGATGGTTACGGGGCCTGTGTGAAGGGGACACTGGAGCAACGTGGGCCTGTAGGGGGCTTGAGGGGGACCCATGGGAAAAGTCTGGGGAGTGGGAGGACATGGTGGAGGGCTTTGGGGTGTCCAGGCCTATAGTGTGGCCAGGAGCCTGGGGGAACCTCGAGCCAGGGTGGGCCCTCCTTGGCCTTCTGCGCACAGCCATGAAGGGGCACATGGCTCCAAAGACCCTCACCTTGAGCCCCCCCCCCCACCTGCCGGCCTGTCCTCCCAGCCCTGCCCACCAGCCGCGGCAGATCCTGGGGCTGTGGTCTGCCCACTCCGTCGCCCTCCCAGTCCTGCATCTGACCCCAAACCTGGGCTCTGCTTGAACACACATCCCATTCCCAATTCATATACACACTGACACCACACTTCCACTCACACACACACACACACACCCGGTCCTGCCTTCCTTCATCCATATACATACACGCACCACAATAGTCAACCCTCCATTCATAGACACACAGGACACCCATCCTTCCATGCAGCACACGCAGGCATGCACACACAACGCTCGTTCTTCCATTCAGATACACAGATACACACAATATCCGTTCTTCCACTGAGACACGCACATAAACATACAACATCCAAAACACCCACAGGACACCCATTCTTTCTCATACACACACACAGACACATACAGCACCCATACACACACAAGATATTCATTTCCCATTCCAACAGACACACACACACGACCCCTATTCTTCCATTCAGACACACACAAACACAACATCCATACACACGCAGGACCCCCATCCTTTCTTTCACACACAGCTTCACACTACAACACACACATTCTTCCGGGCACATTCACATACCACATGCATCCATATTCACATTTTTAAAAAACCACACTTGCCCATGTTCGCGCACACATCTGCACTCAGAATCCTCTCCACACACTGAGAGCCCCCCGCACCCACAACACACCCTTTCACACACAGCCACTCTGCTCCTCCCCCGGCAGCTGCCATTAGGGAGAATTTTTACTGGGAGGCAGAGAGAGGGGCTGCTCTGGAGGGTGCCCACGCACCCGCCTTCCCTCCTCCCCAGAGCCCAGGTCTTAGGGCACACCTGGCCCTTGAGAAATCATGGGGGAGGGGCACTGCCAGAGGGCTGGGCACATCTGGGACGGCACAGCTGGAATCCCCCACATTCCTTCATGCAGGGCTGCCCACCTGGCTGCGGCTGGCAGCAGGTGTGTTCTTCCAATGCAGGTGTGTGGGGAGTGGAAGAGGGGGGAGGAGCAAGAACCAGGCCTGTGGCACTGCCTAGCCAGGGTGCTGGGAAGCGGGGGGGCCATTGAACTATCTAGGCTCTGGCAGCCAGGTCCTGGGCCACTGAAGGTGAGGGTCCAGCATTGCTGGGCTCCAGGTGAGCTGGGCAGTCCTCTCAGGGGAGGTGGCACACATCTGGCACAGAGGATAAATGAAGAGCCAGGCAGCAGGTGCTGCCAGGGGAGGGGGGTGATGGGGGGACATGCTCTAGGACCGTCCTGGCAGGACTAGGGGTCCCCACGCCCCAAGAGGACCCAATGCCTCTCCTGACCAGATGGCAGGGATGGTCTGTGCCCCAGGTCTGGGGTCCTCGCCTTGCTCTCCCTGCCCCAACCCCGGGCTGCGAACCCCCAGTGGGATCTGACCCTGAGGAGTTACAGTCCCCACTCCCAAGGCACACTTAGCCAGGCACCCCACACCACATCACACGTGTGCGCGCGCGCGCGCACACACACACAATCACAAAGACACACACAGGTGTACTCAAGACACACACAGATTTTCTTCCTCCTCTGAGGGTGTCATATAAAATGCCATAATCACACAAAGACACAGGATCACCCAAAGATGCTGTCACACACCCTCCCAGAACAGCACACAGACACACAGCTGCACAGACTTTCCCAGAGCCACCCACAGAATGACACCAGTAGCACACTGGTCACA